AATAAGAAGTATATAAGAAAAAAGAGAGCGTTTTAAAAGAGTAGAGAAATAAATAATAGAAGATTAGCACGAAGAATAGTCGTAAGCGAACGGCCTCTATTATTTATAAATAATTATCTAAAAAGTAGATTAAGCTATTATCTAGAAAGACTTATAAATATAGCTCTACGCTATCGATTTAATTCTAAATTAATTTATTAATATAAACTAATTATATAATTAATATATCGATATATAAAGATAATATTATAATTTTCGAAGTATATATATATAGCCCTTAATAATTTAATTTTCTATCTCGCTTAATTTCCTTTTAAAGAGATCTTCTACTTCGCTTTTACTTATAATTAGAAGCTCTATAATAAGTTAATAATTTCGATATTACTAATATATTATTAAGTGTATATTAGAAGAGACTTATTAAAGTATACTACTTTTATAATAAATAAGACCTCTATTTTCTTAGTAAATTAATAGATAACTCTGAAAAACCTCGAATAACGTATTTTTAAACGAATTAAATTTATCCGAAGTTCAGAAATTACGCTTATACCTCACTTTTTAATATTTAAAAATCGATTACTTAGACTCTTATTATTTAATAACTACTTTATATAGAATCTATCGAGTACGCTCCCCTTATAATTCTATTTATAAAGATCTTTTAAGATAATATCGCGTTATCTATCGATCTCGCTATCGCTATTAATAATCTTAATTAATATCGACTATTTAATATTTTATAAAGAAAATTATTAATAATTATTTATTATTAATTTAAAGTTTAGTAGTTACGATTTAAGAGCGATTTAAGAGATCTCGATTAATTAAATCATATTATTTTAATACTTTCTATCTTATAAAAATTATGAAATATTAAAATTAGAATAATTATTTCTATTATTTTAGAGTAAAATATCTCTTTAATTATTACTTTCTTATTTAATAATAATTCTATTTTAAATTAAAGCCTCTTAACGCTTTAATAATATACTCGAAAAGAGTATTATAGCGAATCTAGAAAGTATAATATTACTATTATTATCGCTAATATAAAAACTTCTTCTTCTCTATATAATAAAAATATATATTATTAAATTACTTTATAATTATATAATTAATCTTATAGCGAACTTTAAAGCGCTCGAAAGAGTAATATTTAAAGTATTTATTATCTTTATAGCGCTTTAATTAATTAAGAGATAAGTATACTAGATAACTATAAAGAAATTATATTATTTATATATTTAATTACTTATAGTACTTACTTACTTATAATACTTACTTACTTATAGTACTTACTTATAATACTTATAATACTTATAATACTTACTTATAGTATTTACTTACTTATAATACTTACTTATAATACTTACTTATAATACTTACTTATAGTACTTACTTATAATACTTACGTTATTATAATAATATCTTAATATCTATAACTCGATATCGAGTTATTACTCTTAGAGGCCTATAGTTTAAATTCAGCTATAGTTAAAAAACTCTTATAAAAAAAATGTAGGCTTTATTCTAAAGAACTATATTAATTATATAATATATCTTAATTAATAAAATTATTTTTCTACGACTATTCTAATATATATATATTATAAAATATAAATATATATGCGATTTAATAGTCGATTTTTTTATAAGTAATATTCTTAATTATTAGACTATATAGACTAATTATTATTTCGAAGACTACTTTACTATATAAACTACGAATAGAAATTTAATCTCTTAATATATCTATTTATATCGACGTATATTCTATAATCTATATATATATATAACTTTATTTATAAGTTATATTTATTATAATAAGTAGATTAATTATTATAGAGTAAGTATAAGTATTAAATAGAGTATTTATATACTAGTAGTTAAACGAGCTTCTTTATTTCTAATTAATCTAATATCTCTAATTTAAGATTACTTAATTTTAAACTTAAGCGATAGATAATAATATATATAAATACCGAGGTCTATAAGTATAAAGCTTTTATAATTATTATAAAGTTATTATTATTAATTAAAAAGTAGACTATAGTTAAAATAAATAATTTTAAAATCTTTAATTAAATATTACTTCGCTAATATTAAATTAATTCATATAATTTCGAATTCTAAACTATATTATAGAATACGCGTTATAATTTACTCTCTTTAGAATCTAAATTAATTGCCTTAGTGTAAAGTAATATTATAAGATAAGCGAATATTAGAAAATGGAAAATGGAAAAATGAAAAATAGATTTTCGGTGGTTGACCCTCTGGTCGAAATAGGTTGCCGTAACTAGCTGAAAGCCAACGGAGTGGGGTGAGGAAATATATGAAAGAAATCGTCAAATCACAGGGGCAGCGGCGAGGTCTTTATGTACGAAAGAACCCCCAATTGAAAGACTCAACCTCGGCCACAAGTAGAGGCCGAAAATCAACTCGATTCTTGGACTAACTCGGCAAGGATATACAGACTTAACGTGATAATGATACAGTCTAAAAGAGATCATTTTACTGGGATAATTCGGTTATAATATAGCCCGGGCACCGATAAGTCGGTTATAAAGAAAGGTTAAAAGAGGCTGATTAGATTATAGACACAGCGGAAAGAGATTTAGTGGATATAGCCTCAGATAGTGCTGAAGCGATGTGGCGACAGCATGGGATGTATACGCGATTTTCGATTCCGATGAACAAGATGTTGTATCCATGGGCGACGGCGAGGTCCATGGGAATGAACATGCGATTGATGGCTGTTTGCCCATGAGATGGACGATACGCCCCTATGGGTAAGTATAATCCCCATGGATAACCATGGGGTTCAGGTATCGATAAATGAAATGCCTTCGCTCCTTCGCTCCTTGTCCCAATCAACACTGGAACTGCCGAAGAACAGCCGGCTCCGACGCTCAAAAGAAAGCTCCGAAGCCCCACCCCCTCAGATAAAGAAAATCGCTTCTGTCTTCATTACAACTCGATTCCTCATCTAGCTCTGCTCCATTGATCACGGATCATCCAACCAATCGATCGAATATCAATTAACGCCAAAGATTCTCACAACATGGGTGTCGAAGAAGTCCTCGAGCGCAAGACTGGCGTAATTGTCGGTGACGACGTCTACAATCTCTGTATGGTCGCTGTGCATTCCCAACAGCCTCGAGACTAGCAAAAAGCTAACACACCACAGTCAAGTATGCCCAGAAGCACGAATTTGCCATCCCAGCTATCAATGTCACCTCGTCCTCAACAGTCGTAGCAGCTCTCGAAGCCGCCCGTGATGAGAAGTCTCCCATCATTCTACAAATGTCTCAAGGTGGCGCGGCCTACTTCTGTGGGAAGGGTGTAGACAACAAGGCCCAGAAGGCTTCGATCATGGGCGCTGTTGCCGGTGCACACTACATTAGGAGCGTTGCTCCGGCTTACGACATCCCTGTCATCCTCCACACAGATCATTGTGCCAAGAAGTTGTTGCCATGGTTAGATGGCATGCTCGAGGTGTGCTTCCACTCGAAGTCGAGGTCTGAAAGGGAACTGACATTGGTGTCCGCAGCATGATGAAAAGCATTTCAAAGCGCATGGCGAACCTCTCTTCAGCTCTCATATGATTGATCTTTCGGAAGAGCCGGTAGACTGGAACATTGAAACAACTGCCAAGTACTTGAAAAGGGCAGCACCCATGAAGCAATTTCTCGAGATGGAGATCGGAATTACTGGTGGTGAAGAAGATGGCGTGAACAATGAAGATGTGGACAACAACTCCCTCTACACTCAACCCGAGGACATCCACAACATATACAAGACACTATCTGCTATCAGTCCCTACTTTTCCATTGCCGCAGGTTTCGGAAATGTTCATGGTGTCTACAAGCCTGGAAATGTGCGCCTGCACCCTGAGTTGTTGAAGAAGCACCAAACCTACGTTAAAGAGAAGGAAACAACCAAGGATGATAAGCCTGTATTCCTAGTGTTCCACGGTGGATCTGGAAGCTCGAAGGAAGAGTACAAGGAGGCCATTAGCTATGGCGTTGTGAAAGTGGTATGTCATGCGATCAAAAACAAGGAGAGAAAGCGCCGGGCTGACGCACTGCAGAACCTCGACACGGATCTCCAGTACGCATACCTGACAGGTATCCGTGACTACGTTCTCAAGCACAAGGATTATCTCCTGCACCAAATCGGAAACCCCGAAGGAGCTGTACGTGCCCTTTCTTGCTTGCCGAGACCCACGCTGACACCACCACACAGGACAAGCCAAACAAAAAGTACTACGATCCCAGAATCTGGGTCCGTGAGGGCGAGAAAACGATGACGAAGAGAGTGGAGGAGGGTTTGAAGGACTTCAACACTGCCGGCCAGGTCTAGGTACATGCCTTCTCCTTGAGGGGAGGATCTCAGGCTGTGTAAATACGCTCCCGTGCAGCTCCAAGATACTCTAAGAAAGCACTTGATTACCAGACGCGTTACTTTTCTTCATGTCATCATCGCGCATTTTCATCTCGTCCCTCGTTGAATCGCGAAATGCAGCTTCTCCGTTGCCGTGGACTGCACATCTCATGGGACTACCCATGTCTCAGATTCCTTTCCAGCCGCTTGTGCGAAGCCAAAGCTGGCCACGGATGAACTCTCATGTGACAGACAGGGTATGGCAGAGCTGGGTGGCTATGGGTGAGAGATCGTGCAGAGAGTCGAAGAGATCGGTAGCCGATGTGCCTATCAGCCGAGGTCACTGCGGAGAAGTGCGTGGCTGACTCGTCGTCTAGATTCGTGGACTCCATCTGGGAAGTCGTCCCTTACTGCTCAGAAGTCTCGTTAGGGTTACGGAAAGAGGGCGAATGAGCGAGAAGTGGGTTTCCTCTTTGACGTTGCTGGTAGTAGCAATGTAGTGCTGCAAGACCTCGGCGGAAGAAGCCGTGAGAGTGCTGACTGAAGGGCCGAAAGAACCGCCATGCTTGACCGAGCGGACACTTGAAATCGATAGCGCCGACACGCACTGTTCACAGACGACCCCGCGGGTGGTAGGCGCGCTCGGGCACTCGGATACCAAGATCCCCGTCATCGTCGCTGCCGAAGTCCAGCTCCAGACTCGCTTGACTGACAGAGGCGGTTTCGTCTAGATCGAGACCGATGTTCTCTTCTGCAACAGCTATGTGATGGAGAATAGTACGTCAGCTTGACGGTATCGTGACTGAAAGCGGCATGCGAGCGGGAGAGGGAGGGAGGGTTTACCATTGGGTCTGTTAAGAGAGGAACGATGTGAGAGCAGTGGCCACATCATGAGTTGATAGAGGGCTTTGAGCAGGTATGAGAAGCCCACGGCTGCGAGGACTCGGGTTGTGGTGAAGAGGTACTGATTGGTATCCGCATTGGAGGGCTGACATAGCGTATTGGTTGCCATGGAGGATATGTGGTGGGGTAGGATTGGTGAGGTAGTCGGAATGCTTCGACGAGATGGCAGGGGTCTGAGGCAAGTGGGGACAAGCAAGGGTTTGAGATGGAAGGATTGATGAGGCAAGTGGAGCACTTTGACAGGTATCTGTGGCAAGCGGGAGCAGAATGAGTGTAGGTTGGAAGGCATGGGAGTCTGGGTGTAAGAGCCAGCGGAACGAATCTTATATACATATAGCCATGAGGGATTGTCTTGAATCTGCTCGCTGATTGAGGATTCAGGGAACATCACTAGCCGCTGCTAAAGCAGCGAGGAGACATGCGTACTTCAAAACACATCATGCCTGCCGAGAGTGGCGGCTGAAAACGTGGGGCTATGATTCAACTTTTCTGCCCGAAGAGGAATTAAAAGAACTTGATGCACTATCCGTCATCATCCTGTCCGTCTTGTCTGTTGAGAAGGAAGTTCAAAGAACGACAGTCGACCAAGAATGTCGGACGCGCGCGTTCGAAGGTGTGCGGTAGTGGTCACACAAACCTTAACTTATCTGCCAGAAAAGGAAGTGAAAGGACTCGACCAGGATCTGAACGTTGCGAGGCATTTACCGTCGAGTAGTTTTTCTGCCAAAAGAGGCACTCAAGGGACTTGACCTCGATGTGAAGGCTGTCAGGCGTGGGGACCTGTCGCCAATCAGTTGTCTTCCAAGAGAAGCAACCAAAGGATCAGACCGCGGTTTGAACATTTTGAGGGTCTGATTGTTATGCACTTTGTCTGCCAAAAGAGGCATTCAAGAGACAGGACCTCAACTCGAAGGCTGTGGGCGTAGGATTTGTGGTCAACCCGCATTCTGTTTTCCGAAAGAAGCACTTAAAGGACCTGACTGCGATTTGAAAAGTTGTGCCCCCCAGCCAGTAATGCAAAGCCCAGTCTTTGCGCGGATCCGGAGGGGTGTGCAATTCGGCCAATCAAGCGCTGCGGATGTACAGTTGAGTACGTTTGACTTCCCAACGTGGCAATAAAGGGACGATCGGGTAGCCGCAGGACCAAGGGGGTGTCAGCATGCAGGGCCTACCGGGACGTCGGGCGGAGCTGACGTGAGATGTCTGAGCCACCCAAATGCCGCACGAAACAATTAGCTACTATTCCCCTAAAGGAAGTCAACGGACTTCGGCTCGCCAGACTGCTTGTTTCCTTACCACTTCATCCCAAGATTTACAACTACACATCATCTGCAACCTTATATAAATTCTCAAATCTATTACGCGAGAACTCTTTTGCTGATTTGAAGAGCCTAGCACGTTCGCATCTCGCGACGAGAGACATCCTTTGACAAACAACGAGTTGAAGTTCTTCAAAGTCTAGCAGTCCGGACAAGGCTGCCATGTCTCAGCAGTTGCTACTCGATATTTCGAGTGCCACAGCGAGATCCAAAGGTCAGGCTCGACGTCGAAACCAGCCTACTGAGTCTGAAGAGGCCCGTAAAGCCCAGCGTAACCTCGCACGTCGTGAGCGGGCGAGATGCAAGAAGACTGCGAGAACAGAGCAGCTTCTTCTGTGAGCCGACGCGAACTTACCGATCTGTACTATCACGCCCGCTAATTTCGCAAGATCCTCAGCGCAACCCTCCCTCTACGCAGATCGACCTCAGTACGGCGGCCCGGTATCGATCAACGACAAAGTGCCCCACAACTTGCCGGAAATACATTTGCAACCGCACCGCCCGGCATTCACAGTTTTGCCAGCTCACGCAAACGAGTTCAACCTGCGAGCTCTAGCACAGTCTAGCCGATACATTGCTGCTCAGTCGAAGGCCCAAGAAGCAAAAGACGTTGTGCGAGACAATTTACAACAAGTTGGGGGCGTCAGCGTTATACAGGCACGTGATGGATCGCAAACTCGGATCACTCCCGAGGAGCAGGACCGGGACGTCGCCGAAATCCTCGTTGAAGTCGCTAGGGAGCAGCATCCGGCATCAACCGTGATGGACACTGAGACTAACTCGGTCAACACTGGCGGTGAGCCGGAGGCGGATGCTAGTATTGAATACTCACGAAAGTGTCCAGTCACAACTTGCGAATTTCACCGTAAAGGTTTTCCGCGGAAAGCGGAAAGGGACAAGCACACAATGACACATTTTGATGGCCCTTTCAAGTGTGGCAGCGAACTATGCGGCAGGTCTTATATTTTCGAGATTTTTGACAACGTCGAGGACCTCAGACATCATGTACGCGGCTCAACTCACCTTTCCTCTTTTCGTGAGCTCGAACGCTTCAAGTGCTATGTGTGTACTCGCGTCTTCGACCGGTCGGGCTATCAGGAACACCTGGATGACTGCATGGTTCATATGGTAGAACTCGAGGCTGCAGGAATGGCTCGACCGTGTCCAGTGTCCGACTGCGATCATCATCTCATGGACTTTCCTTCGAAATACCTCAGAGGTCAGCATTTGATTCGGCACTATTCAGAAACGCTGGTATACCGTTGGAGAGAGCTGAGGTACCCTTGCTGTGACGACCTACAGAGATATTGCTCCTCAGTAGATGAATTCAGAAGCCATGTGGCAAGGGTGCACGAGCCCTTTCTTGGGCGGAGATCATGCCCTATTTGCTGGCATGGTTGTGCCGACAATACAGAGTTCTTTGAGCATTTAGACCGCTGTATCATTCACCAAGTGGAGCTAGAAGCATTTGAAGCCGACTTTTTATGAGATCCCTGTCATTGAAAAAATGCTGTGTGGACAGCTTGTCGGCGCGAAAGTCTTCAGAGATAAGGCTGTGTCTGGAAGTACAGCAGGCTTCAGGATCCTAGGTGGGCTATCGATGAGAGGTGTTGGGTAAAGCCAACGGCATATCTATCTTGGAGATAAGATACCACGAACTTGTAAGCCGCCAGAGAAGAGCCTTCTGAACTCCTTGACCAACATCAGACGGCTTATGGATTTCCGCTTTGGAAGTGGCTTTCATGTACGGCGCGTTTCGCATGTACATTTGCGAATTGAGGAACGCCTTATTCGACAACAGACAAACCAGAGATACTCATGCCAAGTCTGAAGACAGGATAAATACAGCAAATTCATCCTAAATTGCCAGACATTCCTACGCTCTTGCTTTTCCTTCTGAACGACCTACTGTAAGGTTTCTTCGACCATCTAGTACTTGCCTTGTTGCTTTTGCAGTTGCTACTCATCGTCTTCTTCTTCCTATCCTCCTCTTTCGCGTCGATCTTACAGCACCTATGAAGCATCTTGCATGAGGTGGGAAAGATCTAAATGCTTAACAAGCTGATTCCTAATTTCCCCAAAAACTCGCCACTGTCTCGCCTTTCCTTACCAACGTCTCCTTTGGCTATCACCCAGCTGTCTCGGCACCCACCTTGCCGAATGCTGTCTTCCGGCCCCACTGTCGATTCATATCTCGTGATCTGCTCCCTCAATGTCTCGCTACGAAAGATCCTCCAAACATCTTGCTGGACATGTCTAGCGCTTTCTTACTCTTTCCATACACGCCATCATTGTCGTGCTATATTTCTTTATCTCCTTTGTTCTCTCAAACCTATATCACCTAGCCATCCCGTCCCGCACAGCTGTCCATCTTTCACCCTCTACAACAACATCCCAAACCCCGAATGTCAAATCAAGCCAACATGAGCCACCCAACTTTCTACCATCATCATCATCATTGCACCCCAGTGCACCAAACCGTCTTCGTCCTCACCTTTAACGCCTCCCACTGGAACGAGGCCCATATCCCGCCGCTGACCGAAACCGCAGGCACCACCCTCTGCGGCAGCCCCGATTCGCCATTCGGTGTCCTGGGCGTCTACCACTCGAAGAGCTTGGCGGAGCGCGTCGGCGAGGATTGGGCGGGTCGACAACTCGACAACTTCCTGGACGACTGCAATCCTGCCCTCGAGACCGAAGAGGAGAGACAAGAGGCGCGGAGTCACTGGTGCGCAGGTGTGGATCCACGTGATGATGGGGTTTGGCAGTACAGCATCTGTGGTGAGCAGTGTGATGAGTTGGTGGTGGAGGTGAGTGAGCGGAGGGTGGTGGGGCGTGTTGAGGGATGTGAGGATGGAGAGGAGGATGAGGACGACGATGACGATGACGATGAAGAGGGAGGGGAAGAGGAAGAGGAAGGACAGGAAAGTGAGGAAGAGAAAGAAGGAGGAGATGGAGGAGGATGACTGCAATGAGTGCGACGAGCGGACGCCAGGGCGGCCGCGGACAATTCGGGAAATGATATTGAGAAGGGGAAATAGGAAGGTGGCAAGCACTGACGACCTGAGATGAGCTCAGCATATCTTTTCGGCCTTTAGACAGTGCGGCATGGTTCTTAGACAGATTTGCTCAAGGCGATATAGTACAGGTAGCAATCTTTCACCACCAGTGAGTTTTCTAGATGCGTACAGTGATGGGGAGGCAGCTTTGAAGAAGTTGCTGCTTCGCACCTTTGTGTCCGGTCTCCGCCCCTTCACGGCGTGGACTCTACGGGCATCCCCCAGACTGCGAGAGCAGATGTCACCGTAGATCTTGACAATTTGAACGCTGGGTACCGGATGCTGAGACCCCAGTGTAGGCGATTCTTGAAGTTTGTCACTTGAACAGCTCGCGCCATGGCATACTGCTGGCAGAGAATTCCTATCGACTAACAAGATGAACAACTGGAAATGAATGAATTCGTGGGGATAAGCTTAGGAATGTACACGTTCTTCTGAAGGAAAGACGGTATTGTGACGACGATACCTTCTAACCGTGTTTTGATAGGGAAGGTTCAAAGGCGAGGTCAATGGGACCACGTTGACATCATCAATGACAAGCGACCGACCTATCTATTTCCATAGACTTGCAAAACGAGATCTACAGCTGGCGTAGGCCTCGAGGATCGGCAGAGACCCGCGCCTGCACGGTCGAGGTGACCTTGGCATGGGGGCTAGAGCCGGACCTCGTTGTCAGCTCCTCCACGTTGCGTGGAGCGTGTTCCACCCTACGGCTTGAACCTTGTACATCATGTACGTGCTTCGTCTCGCGCGCATCCGGCCGTGCATAATGTACCAGGTTCGAAGGGGAGCTTGAGTCGGTTTCGATCTAACGTCTGACTTGTGGCTAATGTGGCGGAGCAGGGCAAGTTTTCTGCTGCAGTGAGTGGACAAAATCCCCCGAAGAGATGTCGGATGCCTGACGCTAGATGAAATTGTGCTAGAGTACCCTCTGTGAATTGGTCAGAGCTCACTCTCCGTCATACTTTGAATGTATCCTTTCTTCATGCGCACGAGCCGAGGGAGCACTTTCTTCTTCCCGTACTATTGTGAGAGAAGAAGAGCAAGTGAAGACGATCTCCCTGCTAAAAAAGTCTACACGACTCATAGCAATAAGGACACACAAAGTATCCTCCTCTTTGGAAATCCCTTGGGGCACGAGGCATCATCAATCTCTCGCTATTCGATGCTGAAGAGGGCCAGGTGGATTGTGAAGCCATCTCATCATCATCAGTAGCCACGTTGAATTCGGCAAGGTCTGTAGTGACTGCTCCAGGACAAGGAATGGATTCGGCCGTCGAGAGATCGATACTGTGTGAGTCTCTTGTCCGCAACATCTGATCCTGTGTCCTCGGATCCACCGGGACGGCTGAAGAGACATTTAACTGCGTATCCGGAAACGTATGGTCAACAGTGTCTTGGTCTTTCATCACTACGTCCTCGACTATTTGTGACGTTTTCTCCGCTTGTTGCTTCTTGTACTCAAGGTATTGGCGACTTTTGATGGAGACATTTCCGACCCGAAGTGCTGGCCATTGTTCCGCTTGTGGAAACTTGTCTCTATGATGCTGCAAGTCGATGCTTTCCCATTGGGCAACACTTATTCAGGAAGACATAAGATCTCTGTTGTATGATAGCAGCTTATCACGAATGATGACAGACAAGGCGTAAAGGTTATCCACGTCGCTCTCAAGGCCATACAAAAGCTTTTGCAGTTGTGTCTCCCTTGGCATCGCCGATCGGATATCGAGCGATCTAGAACCTTCGTTTTCGGAAGAATCGCTGTCCGGAGGAAGCTCATGAAAGGGAATGCATGTCCCGTTCATTATCGAGGCGGCTGAGATGAGTTAGTGCATTGTCAGGATGGGTATTGACATATTGTTAGAGATTCCACTCACAGTCGCCAAGGGTCTCGCACAGACCGCTCTGAATTTCCATCACAAGGTCTTTTGTAGAGGTAGTGTCCTCCACAAGACGGTAGTCTAAAGACTTGCGCCCGACTTGATTTGCTCCGACGTCGCGCCCATACTTTGTATCGCCCGTAGGGATCTTCCACTTTCGAGACAGGTATCTGGTCACAGTGAACCTGGCGCGCTGTCGGGTACAATGTACAAAGTGTTTCGAACGAGGATATGCAGCTAGCATAATATTGGCGAACTGTATGCGCCATGATGCTAAGGATGTCGAGTGGGTGCACCGTTAGGAATAGGAAGACTGCTGCTGCTCCAGAGATGTTGATAATTCTTTGGGGATTTAGCAGGAGTCAAAGAAGAATTCAGTCTTGATGTGATCGTTTGCTAACGAACGTCCCTAACACTGGACGCAACGCTTAAAAGCTCACAATTGATAAGGACAGTCATTCTTCAGTCGGTGAAGTGTAGAGTACTTGTGCTAAGCCGCTGGCCGGGTAGATAAGACCTTCCGATCGTTCTGCGTCTGAAAGAGGAGAGCGCTAGGAAATGTTGGTAGGCACTGTTAATCTAATCGGAGGCTTTCTTTGTTCCTGTCGATGAGCACACGCACCGTGCCGCGCTGTGATCAGTACATGAAAGCAATGTCAAGATGCCCCGTGTGACTTATAGGCACTGCGCCTACGACACGGATCTCAATGAAACAAGTCAATGCGCTAGAAGGACCACAATTGCGACAGCCTTCCAGAGATTGGGCATGGAGCGGCAGCAGCTGGCCTTACATGGTACTTGAAGATCTCTGGGATGTTCCTCTCCCTGGTTCTGTCTCGACTACACGATAAACTTCCCTTCATCTGTCTACATTTCATACCTTTCAATCCACCCTATTCCGATACCCCTCTCCTTGTCCTCCAACTCCAAATCCTTTTGGAAACTCTGTCTCCGTCTCCATCTCCAGTTTTTCTTGGATCGTCCTCTCCGTCATCGCCGCGTGCTGCTTTCGATATTTATACCACAAAATCAATCCGGGTAATACTAAGGCCAGAACAACGACTGAGACCACAAGGCCAATGGCAGCCTTGTCTCTTGTGCTTAGACCGTTCGAGGCCGGCTTCGAGAGTGGAGATTCTGTGGCTACCAAGGCTGCTGTATTGGATGAAGACAGCAAGGACGTTGGGGACGCTGCTCCCGAGATCGTCGAAACTGCAACATTGACGAATGCAGTGGTATCTGTGTTTGCCATGTGTACGGCTAATGACCCGTTCTCGCCACAGACACCCCAATCAGGCACCTTGAGAAATTGGACGAACGAGGTTGCTGCGGCAGATTGGTATTGGGCAGGGTTGGCATTGGTAGATAGTTGGGCGACCGAGTAGGGCGTTTGTAATGGGGTTGAGGCACCTGAAACTGTGACGCAGAGTCCATTTTGAGCGAAGGCGGACGTCATGGAATAGGCTGTAAACAGCAAGTACTCTTCATGAGAAGAAGACACGTCCGTAAATCCTGGCGCTAGAAAACAATGGTTGCAAGATGCTGGCACAATTAGATTTCGTCATGTACTGCCGGCCTGACCTGGGATCAAAACGTACAAGTCGGCGCCGGAGTTGTAGACTGCCCCATACACAGTTCTGCTATAGAGCAAGCTCCCAGTAATAATAGAAATAAAGACATCGTGAAGGATAATGGAGCTTTTGCAATGGTGAGAATGGTGAAGATTGTTTCAGTTGACTTCAGAACCAGCGATGGAGAGGAAATTAAAAGGTTCTGGGTGAAGAAAAAGGCTTTAATATATGGCATGGCTGCTGTAGGCTGACTGCGCCAGCGGGCCTAGGTACTCTTTGCTAGGCTAGGAAAATCCTTTGTTGATCATCGAAGATAGGGGCTGCACCGGGCATCCAGCAGTAGTCCTCAAGGATATCAGCCGGGTTGAGCGAGCTCGAAGAGACCTGGGGTTTCGGGCGCGAGATTCATCCGCTCACTAACGGCACCAACGGCTAAAGATTCAGTCATTTTTATGCAGGTGACACAATCTTGCCCAGGATGCTTGAATCCTTCGGTTTGAACGCGTCAGTGTCGCAACTGTCACCCTATGAAATTGGAGGGCTGTACATATAATCCAACAGCCACCGAACATTCAACGTTCCGTGGGTAGGAACAACCCTCGTGATATGTCGTCTCAGCCCGTTCACATGGGCATTGCGGGATTATTCATCCCGTTCATCCGAGCCTTGCTTTAGCATCATATTTGTGACTGGCACTTTGGGAATCAACCTGCTGAGGGGCTCTGCGATAATCAGCCTGGTGAGAGGCTCAGGGTAGACCGCTTCTTCCTGGACTGTTCGGGAACGAAGACGATGTATGGCATAAATGGATGTAAGAGACTGGTGAAAGATCGAGCAAATGACTCCGAACATCCACAGTACAACAAAGCTGCGCTAAACGCGAAATTCCCATTACTTGGACATGTCCTCTGTTTGGACACAATGAAATGTCAGATTCTCGTGCACTGAAGCTGCCAGCGGGCAAAGATCTACAATGTGCCGAAGCATCGACGTCACGCTCTTCGAAGGCAGCGCGATTTCTGCATCTTTTTCGTAAGCGACCAATCCATCTCGGGTCCAATTTTTCCCCCACCTTGCAATTTTCACGTGACTGGACTCGAAGAAAACACTGCCTACTCCAGCCCTTCATTTCCCTCAGCTGTGTTTGGAGTTCAATTCCTTCATGACTCAGCAACTTGAAGGTGCTGTGATCCTTTAGAACAATGCTACGTTCCCGGCTGTCGGTCGTTTGGTCGCATCTGCGAAGGAGCGCAGCTTGAACGTGAGTTCCACTGTCTATGAATGATGGCAGACCACCCCCCAATGATTGTGCTTATAGGTCTCCATAAGTGGCGCCACAATGCTGTGGATATACCTTAGCAGCTACGTCTAACACGACCCTACTTGCTGTCCTTAATTTGGGCTAATTTAACGCAAGGGACGCAGAGTTTGGTCCTCTTGACGCTCTCGCCATGCCAAAAATAGAATTCAATGTGGGCGCTAAATAATCCCCCACCAAAAATTTCATATTTTCTATCTTTCCACCACATAACAGCGACCACATTGGGACGAAAACTCGCTGAAGGAGCTTCTACAAGAAGAATGGGATGCTATTAGTTAAAAGTTCATTAATAAGTAAATAGATTCTATGCCCCCAAGACTACGGGATGTGCAGGCCCTGAGGGGACGATTAACAGCATAGTAGTTGAGCTTAGGCATGGCAATTGGGCTTACCATTAAGCGATTTTTATATAGCTTCATTTTCTAGAAGCTTCTGATAGCTATTCAAACTATTCTCCCTAAATTGTAATACAAAATCATGTGTAATGGTCCCGAGATTTGGTGGTTGATTTTCCCCCACATTGAATTCCATTTTTGGCTTGGCGAGTGACGCTCGAGACGCTGCCGCCAAGCGACGTCACCGAGGATCGCCAGCATGGATCTTTTCGTTCCAAACTGCCTCTTGGAATTGCAGATGCACGTGTTTGGGTTCATTGGCCATTCCACAATCAGCCTCCCATTCGATCCGCCATCAACTCCACACTGAGCTCTTCGCCAATCTCTAAGAGGAAGCTGCCAACATCAGATACGCAATGCATCCATACCTGCGCAAGTATGAGCTGGGCATGATGCCATGGGCCCGCACAATGTCCTTGGCTCAAAACCCCTCAGTAGGACGTGCACCATCTGTCTCCTGTCATAATTCTTTATATACATCAAAATGCGCACTTCTACCATCTTCTCCGCTCTCGCAGCAGCCCCGTATGCCCTGGCAGTTGCACCAGACGTGTCCACGGCTCTGCAGCAAATCCTGAACCAAGCCCATCAAGGACCTCTATATACCTACCCGACGAGCTTGACCCAAGGTATCGTACCAAAACTTATCCACAGCCACAATGACTACTGGAGAGATGTGCCCTTCTACAGTGCCATCTCAGTCGGCGCAGTGTCAGTCGAAGCAGACGTCTGGCTTTACAATGGGACTTTGCATATTGGGCATGAAGAAGGTGCATTGACCAATGCGCGGACATTTGAGTCGCTATACATCAACCCGATCCTAGATACGTTGCAACGCCAGAATCCGACAAACAGCTCCTTCCTAACAGCTCCAACCCACAATGGAGTGTTTGATACCAATGGCGCTCAGACTCTATACCTCTTTGTCGATGTCAAGACTCCTGGGAACACAACTTGGCCATACGTTGTCAAGGCTCTCGAGCCACTGTACGGCACCCATCTCTCTCCTTTCTCCGATTCCGGAAGGCCTTCCTTGCTGATAGAATCCAGACAATCCGGCGGCTGGCTCTCCACCGTCAACTCCTCCAACCAATTCACCCTCGGCGCCGTAACCGTGATTGGCACCGGCAACACCCCCCTCAACCAAGTCCAGCCCGTCACACCCCGCTACTATTTCTACGACGCCCCGATCCCCACCCTCAACAGCACCTTCTCCAACATAACTTCCCTCGTCTCTCCCATCGCATCTACAGACTTCGAGGCCAATTTCGGGCCTGTGCCCGGCACATCGCTCAATGACACACAGCTGGCGCTGTTGAGAGCCCAGGTCGCGACGGCACATGCAAAAGGGATAATGTTGAGATATTGGGATCAGCCGGGCTGGCCAATTAGTACACGGAATGGGATTTGGAGGCAACTGAAGAGCGAAGGGGTGGATCTCATCAACGTCGATGATTTGGAGGGTGGAGCTGGGTTCAGTGATGAGAGTAACTACTGGTGAAGAGAAGAGAAACATTTATGTTCAAGAGAAATTTGATTAAGTGGTACTGTATCTTGTAAGAAAACGTCACAGAGGTCTACATAACCATACACAATCAATGGCTGGTTGCACCACTGATAGTGCGATCCTCATCTACCAAAGCACAGTTTCACGACAAGGCGTATCTCAAAATCTGTTTTCGCTTCCTATCTTCGATTACAATCAAAAATCTCCTGACCAATCCTTGTATGGTCTTGCTATTGTCTATCGATGTGAAAACTGACAGGTTTATTGAGATGTATGGTTCGAATATCGGCGAAACGCTATATAATTAGTAACAAGACGATCCGCCTGACATGTGGCAATAACCGCTGATGCCTTGTGACCTTAGGCGTGAGCTCGTCTGCGTTTATCGAAGAGGATGGTGTCTGGACAGGTTGAGGTTTCTGACGACGACGATGAGTTCTCAATAGAGCCTGTTCAGAATACTGGACCTCGGGTAGTAAAGAGAGGAGGAGTAACACTCTTGATTGGGGAGCGTAATCTACTGATCTGTATGCTTCTTTGGTACGAAGGAATACTAGGGATCTGGCTTTATCTATATTGGAGGAGAGAGATATTGTATCTAGAGGTTGAAGTCTGATGAGTATGATCCGGTCTGGCTACCAGAAAGGGATATGGATCACCTCCTCAGCTGCTTAGCAACAGTCGAAGAATTCATATTGGAAATGGTGTGCATTCAATGGTCTCATATCATGTGGAATAGTTATTCATTGTCATGTTCTATGAAGAAGTATGTAGGAAGGATGGAGGTGCTACCTATCTATGGTGTGAAGCCACGCTAAGGCTATTTGCCACCATAAGGCGTAGTCACAACACCTACTCGTATTTGGAACTTAGTAGTGCTGGCCTCCTATTGGCTGATTCCAACAGTTCACAGCAGCCTCCTGGCTGAACTGCTCCACGACGTTGCTGTAGCTGACAGAAAAGGTCCTAGCAAAGGAGGCGATATTCACAATGATTGTATAGGTAATTCGTGATCAGTACACCATGGAAATCCCTCAAGCCCCGCCTTCGGCTCCAGATGAAGAATTTATACTTGGGGTGTGTGAAGATGTCCATCCTTCTTGCTACGATTTACTCTATGTACAAGAAAATCTAATAGGGCTTCGACGCCCAATCGAAATAGTCCGTATATTAATTAAATAACACTAAAATGAGGCGTAATATAGAGTATGGGTATCTTGGTAAAAACAACAGGCTTTTTTAATTTGGGCTGTATTATACACATTTCTGTATATGGAATATGGCTATCTCTTTCCTGAAGATATTATCTTAATTTAATATAAAAGGCTTTTTCTGTTACGTGTAAGAGGTATACACTTGCTGTAGCAGAACCAATCTATTATTATTCCTAATAATAATACTAATCATGCTCAAGCACTTGCTCTCTATCATATATGGCAAGAGCCACATCGTAAACGCTCAACCTTGCTAACTATAAGCATAGCGAAGCATCTACCTCTGGTGGGGATGCGGACTACTTCTCGTACTTCACCCAGGTCATATAAGCCAAAGCCATACACGAGTCTAGCTTATCGGCTGGTACACTGGTCGTCGGGAACCGCTCTCTGAAAGCGAGAACTTCCCTTAACCACACAATATCCTCTCCTACCACTTCGATCTCGGTATCCGGGCAGTGATATGTGATTTTCTGTGTCCCATTCCGGTGCCTGACGACTTTGGCGTAGACTGCCCCGCTACTAAAGACTGTCCCAACACGCACGCGCCCCTCTTCAGACTGTCTCATCTTGTGGTCGTCTTGACCGTCTGCATTAGGCGTTCCCCCACTTGCACTTGAGCTTGGGCCACCCATGACTGGAGTGGAGGTGGGGGTCTGAAATGACAGCTGTGGCCTTTGGCTACTACTTTTTAAATCTGTTAGCTTCTCTCTTATGTCCCCCATCTCCGCAATGTCTCTGCCAACTCACCTGCCTTCCGCGTTTCCTAGACCCGTGCTTCTTCCCACATGTCCGAAGTTCATGCCTCTGGTGGTATCCGCGACCGGAACATACTGGTGGATAGAATCAAGTCTCCCAGATTCTGGCTCCGGTTGGCTATCCAGAAGACCTTCAAGGTCTCGGTCATCGCACTTCCTTTCGCCTAGGATGGTGAAGGGGGGTGAGCGTGATATATATTTGTATTGTGCAAGAGAACGCGATCGTGATCAAAAAGAGAGACGATGTGAAGAAAATGGAACAAGGGGTCAAAGGAGGTCATCAGGCTTTACAGGAACTCATCGCTCTTGTCAACGAGACGATGGTATCTTTCCAAAGGGATTTTCCAGCGTTGGCACAGAGAACCCTAACTCATAGAAAAGATGGCAGTGTCACGAAGGAACTCCGTGCATGGCAAGAGCGAGAACCTGACAAATTTGACAAGCTATACGATGATGGAGATGAGAGACCCGAGTCCAAGAAGGATCGTCTCGAGGAAAAGGAACAGGTTCTCCAGGAGAACATAAAGGAATTGGTGGATGCGATAAAGCATTCCTCTATCTTCGGAGACGGCTCAACGATCAACGAGACCGATTGACTCTCTACTCCATTCCCCCCTGACGCTTCGGAATCTCATACTCCGCCACAATCTTCGATATAGTAAGGAAGGTGATTGTTCGCAGATGATTTGTGTAGTGAGGACGGTAATCGTTGGGAGGAGGAGAAGAAGATTGAAGTCTGTGCACGGGAAGCCTTCATTCGCATCGCCAAACGAATTTGCTACTCATGGCAAGTCTGTGACGTGTTCCATGCACAATGTAACTGGAGACATAATAAAGAAAAGAAACATGGCGACTCTTGGGAGCATTCCAAGTAAACCTACAGGAGGGATGAGAAGATAGGAGAATGTATGAAAAGATGGTCTTGTCCACGGGCTATATCTGTTGCCTTCACTGAAACAGGTCCAGCAATGTCGGCGGCAGTGGTTGTATTACTTGTGCTGTCTTCTTCTTGGTTTGAGGTAGATCATGAGCCTCAGTTCCAGCATACTCTTTCTTCTCCCTTGCGCCATGTTTGATTTGTTCCTTCTAGATCTTTGCGCACTTTGGGCAGCCATGGCCCTTCCACTACGATTTGCAACATCAAGCGTCGCTTTTTGGCTTGTCCTTGTCGTCCTTCTTTTCACGCTTCGCTTTCTCTTTGTCTATGCTGAAGCATCTTGGATATCCAACTGCCTGCTCAATTTGGGCACGTTTGAGACAGCCAATAGTGCTTTCGACAGGTTTTTTTGGGTTCAGTCCCATCATTGAGGTCATGGTTGCCATGTAACAGATGTTTTCGTTCACCGCACAACCGTTGGAGCTCGAAGTGTTTCGAGCGACTGAGGACATATTTACTTTGCTCGATGTAGAGCACGAACACGGGCGCAACGAAGGCGAAGAGCATCGTTTATGTCGCGGACGTTGCCTTACGTAGATCTCGCTGCCGGTCTCATGGTCGTCGTTAATGCAAACGGGGGATTTAACGGACTCGCTTACTGATCGAAGCCAGATTGGGAGCTGGATCATCTCGAGAGAACCCGAGAACCCCAAATGGATCGAAGTTACCGAGCTGATCAATTCCAAGTGCCTTCATTCGTAGGTAGGGCTGTGTTGCCTTCGGAGGTGCCATCTCAAGAGTCAATTTGATGTCGAAGGGTCATATTGACGGTGAAGTAGGTGTGCAGAGAAGATAGACACTGTGTAATAGAGCGTCAGAGGCTGAGTCCGATGTGTTCGTATGATCGCGAGACTTAAGGATGTGGAGTTTGAGATCACGAAAATTAGGGTAAAGAGATTGAGGTTTGGGAAAGAGACAAAATCCTGGAAAACGCGAAAAGAACTATGGAAAAACATTCCAACAATGACTATTGATACGTTGTCCAAATCCTCCTTCCGGGGTTGGGGATCCCAATGAGTAACGCGAATGAAGGATCATCATTGGCTGTCGCCGACTTTTCCAATCCAGGCTCGCCCCATTGATAGTCAAAGAAGGACACCCTTTTTTTCTAAAATAAGATAGACTTCGAATGGGAATTTCTTAGTCTCCAACGTCTCATCTCCGCGCGCCATACACCATCCGTATTGGCGGTGTTGCTTGGCTATTTGCTCGGTGGCTCTGACCCATGACCTACACGCGGCTTGTATCATCATTCAAAAAGATGACAGAAACGTCGTGGCTAAGGCAAGGTAGTCGTTTGCAGAGAACAACTGAAAGAGGGTGTGAAGGAAGGTCTGAAGTGGACAAGGACTTCAGAGTTCTTCAAAACTAGCGCCATATAGCTCCCACACCTTTCATCCTCCGGTTGGCCGTCGGAATGGTACCAGTGAAGATAATGACGTTCTGGATATTTAGATCTTAATATCACGTGCTTGTGAACGTTACCTCGAATTTGAAGACGGGCTCTAATCTCTCTATTTTGACCAGCAGGCATTTCAGAGCACCAATAGCGTTCTGTCTACTTGAAGTCCAATGTGGATCCTTTTGACTTCAGATTTGCAGGAATGAGGACGGATCATGCGCTCGCATCCTCGCAGGTACATGATAAGGGTGAGCGTGTATATCGGCGTAAAGCTGTGAGATGCATAGGAACAATCATTGATGCTCCACCAAAGTAGAAAGAAGGTCTCAGAGGCCGTGGAAAGCCGTGTATGACAGCGTTTGTTGGGTCGTAGATCCATTCAGGATATCGAATTGCAGCTTAGACGAGAATTTCATTAGGCAACTTTGAGGATTCACCCATCGTCTGGACGGCTGGCTAGAGTTATTTCACGGGGTGATCGTGGTCTGCGGCATGCTCTGTGGCCTTGGGAGGTACCATATTGGCAATCAAATTGATGCTGAAGGGTCTTTCGAATGGAAAGGTAGGAGTTCAAGAAATACGGACACCGTGTAGAAAAGTGTCAGGTATGAGTCTGGTGGAATCGTGCGATGGTGAGGTTCGACGAATGGGTTCCGAAGACGCTGGTCTCTGTTCCATCCCCGCGCAATCTCATAACCGCTTTCTGTAAATAAGTTGTGAGTAATACTCTATCAACAAACTCCGAGTCGACACCTCGTGACGAGCCTTGATTGAGGGGAAGGATAGGAGGTATTTACTTGCATGTGTATTTTCCGAGAGGCAGAATTACCCTTCCACCACTTCTGGACATCACGATCTGTTTGTTGGATCCACCGATTGTTGTGGTCTTGTGTGAATCCACCGAAAGCGGCAAGGTCCGAGGCATATCCAATCTTCAGCAGACATGATAAGCAGGACTCCACAGATGCACACGCCGTTATGATAGTGATTGTTAACCCAAGACCATTTTCTCGAGCTGCTTCTCAGATTGGATACGTGACATATTGAGAGGCAAGATCCGGGCCTCTCTTCTTTGGTCCCAGTTTATGCACTTCGCAGATCTTCTTGACGTAATTGACTACTTCAGTATTACGATTATCGTTCAAGGTCTCCTCGAGCTCTACCATGAGCGAAGCAAGTTTCGCTAAGTCATACAACTTGCTATACTCGACGCACGCAGCCTGTGCGGGTTCGCTAAAGATGATACGGCACTGCTGGACGATCTTCTCTAACTCGGCCGACGTTTCGTCAGGAGCGGGTACGTAATAGGAGGGAGCGCTCTGTATTGAGCGGAGAGTTTGCTGGACGCGAACGAGATTATTTTTGGATGATGTTATCTTGAAATAGGTGAGAACCTCAATTTGTGGCTGGGATAGCGTGAGTTTTTGGACGAGTAAAGTATCTAGAATACCGTGGAAGTGGGAGCTGATATAGGCTCGTTTGGATGGGGTCATTGGTACGAGCGCAGTAATCGGCTTACGCTTCTTGGGCGTGACCTGAACACGTGTACGTTAGCCGGGATCTATATAGAGCAGGAGACAACAAATAGAGATACCGGGATTGTTTCGTTATCAGACACGCGTTTCTCAGACACGCGTTTCTCTGATTTATGGTCGCTGGCAACCATGCGTTCTGACTCGGAGCCGAGTTTCCATGTCTCGCGGCCGGTGTCAGATTGAGCGACTTTGAAATCCGCTGTCGTTTGGCTAGCCGTCTCGCTTGACAGGTTGAAGCTCTCATCGCTTTCGCCATCACCATGGGGCTTCTAACTGGGAGCCCCGTCTTTCCCACTAGATTCAGGATTTTGAGCAGAGGGGGACGTGTTGGTGTCATTGTTGACAGCTGGCTCCGACTCTTCAGTGGCCTTCTTAGCCTCTGCCTTTGCTTTCTTCAGGTTTTCGATGATTTTTCGAATGAACGACAGGATGCGATAAGCCCGGTGCTCGATATCTGGGTCGGATAATCCCTCCTCATCGACGCAGTCATAGATGGCTCGCAGAGCCTAAATCGTGTTAGTTTGAGCCAGGTCAACGACAGGTGCAAACTCACACGATCGAGACCTGTAGCCAAGATTCACATGGAGGGAAGGCAAGCTCTGTTACTTTACCAAGGAAGTTTTCGTCCTATACTGCGTTAGTGGATGCTGGCAAACGTTCTGTACGTACTCACCTTGGGTTGTCCTCCGCTCCTTCTCACTTTGGCGCCGGTAGACATCTTCCGAGTCAGTCCCATGCGCTCCCCCACATCACCGTGTAGTTGATAGGCGTTCCAGATCACGAAATCTCTCTTGCCGTCCTTGTCTTTTCGGACGGCAGGTGCTCCATGTGGCATAAAATTCCCAGCTAACCACCCTTCTGAGTTAAGATCTAGTTTCCAGAACTCAGATCGGTTCTCAAATCTCAATGCCTAGATCAAATATTAAGATTACAGGTATGAGAAGTAAGTATGTTCTCCGGGAAAGCAGTTTCACGAAGAAGAACGGTGTTTCTTTGTATGGTTCTGATTGATTGATTGTTCCGTGCTCGAAAGCTATGAAGAAACGAAGAAAGTAGTTACACGCCAAGTCACGCTAGGCTAAGCTACGCCAAGTCACGGAAACGTAACAAGTTCCCCCCTTCTTGTAAAAAGCCATCCCGTCCTCGGGCTTTTCCTCAAGCTAGGTCGGACCTGAGATAGATATCGGACTGGGGAAAGGGAAGGTATGAAGGTCTAGGAAAGGCGACTGAGGTAGACACTGGACTGAAAAGAGGGGAAAGGGAAGGCATGAAGGTCCAGAGCGACTTTCGGACAGACTTCGAGTGCTTTCCTTAGTCGTAGCATCCTTCCACTCCTCGCTCGGGCTTTTCCTCAAGCTAAGCCGGACCTGAGGCAGACACCCCAGAAATCCGGTAGGACTGTGAAAGTTTCACAGTGATCAAGGAATTGCTCCTTGGTGACGTCGCCGGCAGGGTCGATAGCAATGTGTTCAGGGAATGCGAATTCGATAGTGTCGTCATCCATTCCTGCGTCTTCCAGCGTCCAGATATTCTTGATCTTGTCCATAGATAACACCGCCCCATCGTCAGTCCCTGCGCGCGAGTCTTGCGGATCGTAGTAGTCGACTCCCTGCGCAGCATTGCCTTGTGCCTTAGATGTCCCCTCGCTTTGCTCGGTCTTTCGCGCTGTTGTCTGCTTCCGCCAATACCAACGAAGCACCGTGTAGACGCGATACCAATCTTCTAAATGGAAGTTGTGCACCTTGTTCACTGGGTCGACCTGATCTCACACGCATTCATGGACGAAATCCGGGTTCTATTCCAGAATGACTTTCATGGTAACCAACCGTGAGTAGAAATCGCGGAGAGGACTATCAAAGGTGGCGGGTAAGGGGAGAGAAGGGTGCTCGGTCTTATCCTTAGATTTAGGACCCTTGAGCGTGAGCTTAGGCATCTTTGATGGTGGTGGCTTCCCGGTCTGATCGCCTGCTGGCTTTCGTGTAGGGGTCTCAACACTGCCGGAAGACGGGGGAAACGAGGAAGATGCAGGCGAGGACGTTCCTGATGCTGGAAGGTCAAAGGAGGGATCTTCATCTTGAAAGAGATCTGGCACTGAATACTTCCCAAAACCGGAAGTCGGGGAAGGCGCAGGCGCCAATACTGGCAAATCTGGCGATTTCCGCCGCTGGTGTGACTGTCGCGTGACGCTCTCATCAAGGCCGGAACCCGCGGGAGACGCAGGCGTAGACGGAGGCGAAGGCGAAGACCCTAGTAGATCCGGAGAGTACCGCGGCGGCCGGTCGGAGCGCGCCTTTTGCACAGGCGCAGACGGAAGTGTTGTTGACTTTGGAGAAGTCCGCTTAGGGGCCCGACCGGCTGGTCCCCCCAAGGCTGCTCCGGGCTGCCCAGAGGGTGTCGATGGCCGAGTCTCGGTCGTTGGCTGCTGGGGTTCTTTTGGTGTCAACTGCGACTGCTTAGCTGTTGGTGACTGCGGTTGGTCGACCGGTGCGATCGCCGTCTGCAGCGCCGTCGCCGCCGAACTCAAAACCTTCTTCTCTTGCACTGGTGTCTTCTTCTTGGCTGGTATAGCAGCTGCCTGCTCTTTGGCTGGTGGAGCTACATATTGATTAGTAAATTATCTTTTCTGCATCGAGCACAAAAACATCTCGCGCGTTTTTCGTTATTGCGTACTGTCGTTTATGAGACTTCTGGCCTAGGGTTTCCTTTACTCTATTCTTCCTCCCGCGGCTTGGGAGGGCAAGTTTTGGGTACTTTGTCGGAGTGATAGGGGCTGCGGTTCCCTTTTCCTTACCTTTACTACCTTTCGCTACTTTGAGGTAGTTCCTGGTGTACTGAGGCCGATGGAGAATGACAGTGGATATCGTCTATGAACAAAGTCGCGTCAACCAAAATTTTCACTCGGATTTGGCAACTGAGTGTGAACTCGCCTGGATTTGACCTTCTACCGCACGGGTTTCGCTCGGACGCGTGGAGCAATGAAGCAGGGTATCGAATGGAATACTTAATGAGTGTTAATCTGCCCGTAGCTGAGATGCAGCGTTCTTGAATATTTCTCCTTTGAGAGTAGTCTGTTTCGACCGCGGAAAAGACGTAGACGATTCTCTTCCAGGTAGTAAGTATTCTTAGAGAAGTACGAGAAGTTCTATGCTTCAATTAGCTGTAAGAGAGCTATCGAAGTCGGTAAGTCGTCTTATCTCACTGCGAATCTTGATAGAAGCTTACCTTCACCCCATCGCGTATCACCCACAAAATCCGCATCCTTAGTCTTCATCACTGATTGGATATCCATCTACCGCAAAGATATCCAGATCAGCAAGTCACACCGTTGCGACCTGCGCTTCACCGAAACAGCGCTGACTTTGACGCTCGTAATGGGGGTTTGAACGGGCGAAACGAGGCTGACCACGAGCTTGCAGCCTGTTGGGTTCTGTTGGAGCAAGAACGAAGAAGCTTCGGAACAGAGGAGAAATGCTTCGAAAGTATTCGAAAATTCGAATTAGTGATTTTTCAAAATTCTCGAATAATTTGAATGAATGTTGTAGCTATTTTTTTTTTGACCCTCCAGGCCAAACCCTCAACCTCCCACCCATGGGTTTGACCCGCAATCTAAGCGACAGCGCCGTCCTAGTATTCGAAAATTCGAATTAGTGATTTTTCATATAAAAGTTCGAAAAAAACGAACCTTCGGAATGTCAGATTCAAAAATTTGCTGACAAAACATGTCTCGAGGTCCGATATGTTCCATCTAAGATTCGTTACTTCGAATTATTCGAATTCTTAAAAGGTTCGAAAAATACGTACCACGGCATAATCGAGATTACCGCCAAAGGCGGCGAGGACGAGTTCGCCTTCGAAAAATTCGAATTAGCAATAAGTTCGAAAAAGTCGTAGTTTCAAAAAACATACCAACTACCTTATTCGTACGGCCCAGACCACCAGGGAACTAAATTTCGAAAATTCGAATTAGCAAATATTAATGATTTTGATATTTCGATTTTTTTGAGATATAGAACCTCGAAAAATACGAACCTCTGCAAGCCTTATCGTTCACGAGAGTGCACGTTGTATATCCTCAGGGAAATGTCTTGGCGGCCTTCCCTCTGCGCTGATGGGAGTACTGTAAAATGAAGATCTCAAGAAGACACTATCAGAATTCCGAAAGTGAACAGGAATATGTATCTCAAGACTTAGCAACATGGTTTGCAGCACCATCAGTAGGACAAAGGGCTTGGGAACTGAAAGGAAGAGCCAGAGGGCTACTTTCATAATCTCAGATGGGTGAGAGCTCGTGTATGTAATGGCGGTAGAGTGATACATAGAGTTGTCACTTCGTTGGGGGTAGTTCATCTCCTTCATATCCCATGTTTTAGTCGGCTCCCCCCCATTCACGGCCTTGATCCAGTCACGCACTGCAAATTGTTGGCCTGTCTTACCAGTCCTCATGGAACCGTAGAGCTGCAGGGAGCGCGTTTTGAGGAATGCAGCGATGAGCATCCAGTGGCTTGCTCACGTGTGTGGAAAAGAATCAGGCCGATTTCGGGCAGAGTAGAAGCATCAAGACTAGCTTACTTTGCACTGGCTTTGAGATTCGTTGCAGTGAGCCGATCCATCACAAAGACGTTGATAACCACGATCTCTTTTTACCGTTCAGCGTGCGATCCCGCCTGTTCCTGGCAGTAGCGGTGATCTCTAGAAAGGTGTCTATAACGCTACCGTTGAGTGAGCCCTTCGGGCTACTCGGTGTCGCAGTTGCCAGAGCGTCAGTAAATACAATAGTGGCGATGTCTGCCCTGGTGATCTGGACTTGTTCGTAGTTGGCTACACTCTCCAAAAAGCTGGTCTTAAAGAAGAATTGGGTTCAGCTTTTGCAGCCATGGGCTCGGCAGAGGGTCGATACGAGATGTTGAACACCTCTTAAACACTCCGGACTTCCGGATGCTTTCCAACCTCTGTACGACTGTATGTTGAAGGAAACGAGGGGAGTGTCGAAGAAGAAGAAGGTGGGGTACAAGCTCGGAAGAGACTTCGATGCTATCGTATAATTGACGGTGCATTTGGATCTGAAGGTTGTGGCGTCTGGTGTGTAGAAACTTTTTCAGGCTGGACTAGGATTGCGAGACGTATTTCTTTTGAAAAGTAATATGGGTAAGAGATTCAAGTAGAGATAATGTACTACCGCGGAGCTGCCTCCTGACTGTATCGAGCCTTGATGTAAGCTTCGTGTTCTGCTAAAGCAATGGCTGTTTGGAACGCATTGCGAACCTCAAAAGTGCGATATTGCGTTGTTTGAACTGCGAAAACTGGGGTTTGTAAAAGTCCAGGTTCTGATCTCGCACAAGTTTATCGTATACCTTGCCAATGACTTCCCAAAGCCAAGTACGCATTGCTCTAGCATTGGCTTAATCGGATCTTGGGAGTTACAATCAGGGGTAAGCATCACTGCACGCGCCACAAAACAGCCTGTCCAACAACTAATACAGATAAAACAGATGAAACCATCCTGTCCAAGCCTTCTGCAAGCCTCAAAACAGGCTGCAAGGCAGTTTTGTAGGTGATAATGTTTTGCTGATGATGTTTTGCTGATGAGATTTTGCAAATGATACTGTAACTATGCTTGCAAGATGGGTGGCTGTGCAAATGAAATAAGTGAGGACGACAATGGAATCCCAAGAGACTGGGATGTCCTGGGGAGCCTTCCACCAAACAAACGACAGAGACTCGAGAACTCGGCACAATCCGGGCCAGCTCAACATCTTAACCAAACACCAGCCACAATCCTAAACCCCCTTGGAGTAACGAAGGTCATGTTGGGTGAGTGATCCGGGACTTGCGGCGTTGATGCTGGCGGATCAGGGGTTGGTGAGTGACTCGGCGTTGATGCTGGCGGATGTGAGGAACTCGGCGTTGATGGGGTTGGTGAGTAGTATGGTACTTGCGGCGCTGGTGCTGCCGGATCAGGGGTTGGTGAAGAATGTAGTTGGAAGTCACTTTGCTCCTGACTCCAGTCGATGTCCGGTAGTTCCCCTGGACCGTGATGGACGTGCCAGAGTGCTCCGTCCGCGTTTTCCCAAACAATAACAAATATCGGGTGAACCGTCCAAAATTGTTGAGTCTTCGTCGTCGTCAACAGAGTCAGTCAAACAATCGGAGTTGCCCGAGCTGTCTTGCTTGACCGGGCTCACAAATTCATCCTCAATATCCGGTAGAGCTATGCGGTAGCAGATGTCTCACCTTGGATTGGCTCTCGTCGATGGCATATCTTGCGCTACTTTGAGGACACTGACGAGTTCTCTAAGCATTGGAGCTATGAGCTTCTCAGGGTTCGCTAAATCGCCTCCACGGCAATGTCTTGCTCTCTTTCACCATGCTTTGTCGGTGATTATTCGTTTTCAGCAGTATCCACATCATTGGGAATTCAAAACATGCTTCTGCCACCCGGTGTGAATACCTGAAAACTTAGGCACAGCGCTCAGTTCTACGTTGGTATGGGTAGAATTTTCGGATTCCCACTCTTGGGATAAGTCTAAGAGACTCACAGGCCTATGTTTCAACCCTAGATCCAGATGTCGATGAGAGCTTTAGGTCACTTCGCCTGACATGAGCAATGACAGTCACATGGGACTTGGGATTCTTACCTTGAGCATACTGGATGTGTCTACCTCCTCCTTTGACTACCATCTTGTATGTGATGCCAAAAATAGCCTCGCGTTCGGCTTTTTCTGGCCGACAGAGATAGATCCATCAATCTCGACCTTTACCTCATGCTGGGGAGGTTTTCAGTGTAAAGAGTTTGTTGGTCTCAAGGAGTGGACTTGAGGGCGACGACTTTGATAGAAACTTACAATTCGAGGTGAGTTGCAGATCTGAGACAGAATGAATGGGGAAGGAGAGCAGTGACAACAGTATTGGTTTTCTGACAAACTTCTGATCGGTCGTTAAATATCTTCCAGCCTAGATCTCGTCGCAGTCTGGCTTGAATTTCTCTGGCCCCTGTTCCTTCATGATTTGAATCCAAGCAGGCTGGAATACGACACAAGAGAAAATGGACAGTGACATTAGTTTCTTGGAGAAGACCGTGGAAGAAGAGACGGTTGAACGATTGAGACTGAGATGGTCACGTCTTGTTCCCAAGGCACAAAAGCCACAGGTGGTTGGCAATCAAGCAGCTTCCATGATCTGGTCTCTTACCTTCCATCTTCGAATCCTGATGTGGGTGTAAAGATTATCAGTGAGTTAGTGCGAGAACATACCGGGATCTCCCATGACTCATCGACCTCTAAGAATGCTTCAGGAGCGCCCTCAGTCGCACAGCGTAGGTCCGTAGGGCGTAAGGATGATAGTACATCTTCTTTATCTTGTATCTAGCTCCCTTTGCGTTCTTCACCTTCTGTGCCTCGTCCATTGTTCGTCGAAGAAAGTATTGCTAGACGGCGTATCAGTCGGGCTCACAGACTCAAAGTACACCAGACCGATCCTACTCACCGCTGCAACAAAAGATTAATCAAGGTTCTCAAGATTATGCTGATGCAAGTGTGCGCAGATCCGATGATGAGCTCATCTTGAGACATTGCAGGAATCCTGTGCTTTTACAATGGAATTGGTCTCCCTTGAGTAATGTTATATTGATGGTAGAGAAGGCTATAAGCATCGGTGTGAATTGGAAAATAGATCTGCCTACCTTGAAGAAACATTGACTGCCGCCCTGAATGATCTGCCCGTCTATGATTCTGCTCTTTCTTTCACCAGAACTTGGTTCGCCGCTGTAGAGACCTCACTGTTCCACGTTTTTTTGGTGGCTAACAAGTGTTGCCACGAACGTGATTGGGAAGCCTAGGACGATTTGGACAGGATTGGCTGGTGGCACGATCATACTGGAGATCGTGGTAGCCAAGTATGTCATGATGGATTTCACATCTTCTTTGTCCACATTTCCAGGTGCTTCGGACCTAAGATATCTCGTTGAAAGGCCCACAGAGGCAGAAAGGTGCCAACTCATACTGACAAGTAACGGGAGGGAAGTTGATCAGAACCCTGACCTGTGGGTCCAATTGGCCCAGAACATCATTGTCAGATTCGTCAGAGAGACAATTAACCTGCTCGTAGATTTCGTTTATCAGTCGAGGAATATCCACTATATCGAAGCTCAGCCTTTGAGGCACAAGACATCAGGGAGACGGGCTTACCTTTGGATACATTCTCTGAACTCTTCTGGAAGAGACCAGATGCTGGTGTGTGAGCAGCAAAGTTGAACAGTGTCAGTGAAGCAAAAGGAGTTTAGTGAAGCAAAGGAACCTTACCTTGATTATGGCGAGTCTCTCATAGAACAGGTGCGAATCAAAAGAGAGATGATCATTTCCAGAATAACGGGCCACCCTGCGATATTGACGGGTAGTGCGAATCACACATTTAGTCCAGTACATGTTTAATGGCTTGAATAACGTCAGCTTCCAACTCGACTTCTCTATTGACAAGTCCCAGGTTGCGCAACAGGCTGTGCGCATTGATCTGGCGGTCTCCGAAGGGCCTTGAGCCAGTGCTGTTTGAGTGATGAAAACGCTTGAAATGGTAGGCCGTTCGCTTCAGTCCCAAAGTGAGGCACGAGCTCCTCGCCCGCGATACTTGCAAACCTTCCAAGCTAGGACTGGAAGTTCCGTGACAATGCTACCGACTCCGTGATAGGGAAATATTGCAATGAAGGGCAGAGATACCCTCGCCACGGCCTAAATGAGCAATGACTCCGGCTTCGTGCTCATGAAGAAGTCCTCGTATAACCAACATAGAGCCCTGGAACAATCATTCGTACCTTCTTCAATATCTCTAATGTACGCCAGATGTATCCAATGTTAGCATCAAGGATAAGATAGCAGGGTTTCGGTTCAAGATGAAATATATATGTAACTAGATTGCGTTCTCATGCAGGGTCCGTCGAGTCAGCATTGTCAAGTCATACGTGAACAGGAAAGAAGTAGAAGAGACACATATTCAAGCACGAAAATAATGATTCATGCCACAGGTACAAAATAAAGGTATCTTTGAAGGTATACTATGCCTCTGGATGTTTTGATGGTCGGAACCCGTTCTGAAGGTGGAGAGAAAGTATGTAGGAGAGACGTTTTTGCGGCAGCTGAGAAGTATAAATACCCACAGATGCCAGTCATTCACCGATAGCCGGCTTCACCTGCGTGACGAATGTTCTAGTTCAAAGTCTACCAGTGAAGCCCATCCCGCAAAAGCCTGTGAATACACCTTTACCTCAGAAATCCAGCTCACCATTTAGCAAGACTCAGACGCTGGTGAAAATAGATCCATGATCTGACTTTTCCACCAGCCATCGATTTAATGAACGTTCTTTCGGAGCCTGTCGTCGTTTCATTTCATCAGTGCTTGCAACGCCTGCCTGACACATTGCGTAATAGGATCGTCGTCTTTGTAATCAATCATAAGGTCGTTCAATGTCTCGACACCAGCAAGTTCCTTCACCTTGTTTTTGGCCTTCTTTCCTGTATCTGATTCCTGGCAGACAGCGTTCATCACGCAAACACAAGCTCGATGAACGATTCCTCTATCACCGCTTTCATCATCTGCCAGAGCAAGTATGATCTCCATGGCCCTATTTCTCGCCAGGATCGCTTTCACGGCTCCCTCGAACTCTGTAACTACAGCCAATGCCCCAGCTGCAGCACATCTAGTAGCTACATCTTCGACGTCAGCCATCGCAAGCAATATGTGCATACGTCTAGCGGCAGCTGGGGACTCATCCGCGAACAACTCAACGCCCAGGGGACAATTGGCAAGATTGCATACGAGTTGAGTCGCTGCACGCTGGACCAGGGTATTGTTACTAAGCAAAAGGTCTTCAATCGTAGGGTAAGCTTGGCGTATGATACTTTCGGCTGCGCCACTTGAAGGAACAGTTGCTAGGTTTGCGAGAGCTATGAGTGCTTCGAAAGTTGGCAAGAGGTCTCGGGGACCTTGAGTCATTGGACCAGAGTCTTCACGAAGAAGTGAGAGGATTGGTCGGATGACAGAAGTCAATGGCATGGAGCCTGATGAAGGGAAAACGAGAGATGGATCGATCGATATCAAAATGCGAGCTAAAGCATGAGCTGCAGTACGGCGGACTTCCATGTCCGAGTCGGAGGATCCAATGATGAGGGTGTAACCCTGTAGCAGTAGCCTTACTCCGCCTTGTTGAGCAATAATGCCTCGGAGAGATGATGTCCGTGAAAGCGACAGTAGAATCCTGATAACGATATTCATTGAGTTGGGAGACAGATTCTTGCGCATGCCAACAAGGACCGAGATAGCTCCAGCGTTTACGATAGCTTTGCAACGCTCTGTGACAGCAGCATCTTCGTCAAGAGGATCTGCTTGAGGAGCGTTCTTGGATGCATTAGCATATGCTTTGAGCTGAGCCATCCGTCTCTGCTCCTCCGAAAGGTTTGGTAGGTAGCGAGTAAGATTGTCGATGAGCGCCAGGCCGCCGAAGCTTGTTGGAGATCCGGGCGGACTATGCCTCAAGTTTCTCAGGAGCTTTTTGAGGAACTCATCGTCTCTTGCGAGCTCCTCTTTGATCTTAGGCTGGACAGATGCGTACGCCAGACCCTCAATAGAGCTCTGGTTGGAATCTAATGGATCTTCAACCATCATGCTCTTAAGTCTAGGTACAAGATCATCCGCGACACTCTTCTCTTCGGCTGCCATTTGAACCTTTGAACTGGTTCCTTGGCTAGACGGGCCTTGGATCTTGGCCAAGATCACTGCTGCAAGACCGGGTCTCTCATCTTTGCCCGTAGCTAGGATATGCTGCAGCCATGTTGTACAGTGCTTCTTGATGGCTTCACGGCATGCACTATCAATGCAAGCCGCACTCAACATGTCCAAAGCAGCAAGTTCCACCTTTTCTGATTTCGCCTTTTTCTTCAACAACGGTACCAGCGCCTGGACGAAACCCTCTGTGAGGAACAACGTCGAGGCCGGTGATGATGCAACAGGGAATACACCTGCAGCAGCGGAGAAAGCCTGGACTAGATCTTCGTTTCTCTGCCGTGTAAGTCGAGAACTGACGAATTGTGTTAGAGTCTTTTGGCCGTTGTCTCCGGAAGCTTCCAGGTATTTCGCAGTCACTAGGGTTGCTTGACTGCGTACTTCGACCGTATTGCGATTGTCCAACGAAGACAGAACCACATCAAATGTTTCTTCGTCGATGAGTGTACGGAGACGTTCCGTGTCTGCTGCCAGGAGCCTAGCAATGCCTTTCAGGGCTCTGAAGTTCTCTTCGTCTCCAACCTGGATCAGCTTTGCAAGGTACAATTGGAAGACATCTTTTTCGCATTCCTCCCGTATTGACTCGGTTGACCAAGCTGCCGGATCCAACACCACATCGGTCATGCCATTGGAAGATCCGTCACCCAACCTGAATATCTTCTCGAATGCAACCATAGTCGTGTCGTCATGTAGCTTCTTTGCCAGCGCGATTTTTGCAGCTGGAGCTTCCCTCAGAAGGCCTGCTACAATCCCATCTTGTACTTCCCCATCTTTGTAAATCTCAGGCCTCACAACGAGTTCCAAACATGCCTTGGCTACATCTCCAGGCACTTCTGCCGATCTGTTGAGATAAGAGAGAGCTTCCTTGCCCGCACCTTCGTCATGCTCCAAAATAAATTCGCTGCAAAGCTTCTGTAGGCGGTGTTGTAAGTCATCTGACCGTATCTTATCGAAGGCGGCCTTGACATGAGGATTGCTCGGGGCAAGTGAGGCTGCTTCCTGCAGAGCTCGAGAGCCATCCTGTGGTAGCCGAGTCAGCGAAGGTAGCACGCACTATAGGGCCACCGTCGAACCTCATCTCTTCCAGAGGCTACAAGCTCCAGCGCTTGAGAAGCCAGCGCAGCAGCTCTTGCTTCCCTTTCCTCGTCAGCCATGTTGGCTGAGGATGGACTCGATAGAATAGAGAACGGATGGTCTTGGCATCTCGGCGAAAGCCCAAATTGGCCGCCGACATTGCGACTTTGATGCCAGCGCCTCCAAGCCTCAACATTATATCTAGCAAGCTTTCTTCCCCTCATTGTCTATACTCAACTCCAGCATGATACAGTCCACAGTCAGGTCTAGACTGTGAATATCGTCCCACGTCAATATCGTCACCATGAACGCAGTCGATGGTTCAGATCACTACAACAAGACCTCCGACGGCAAGTGGCACACCCACCACAGTCTCTTGCTACAACACACACACAGAGATGCTGATTCACTTCTTCAGAGCCCCCTCCATCCCTGCTGACCATTATCCTCGACACGAACGCCCACGCCTGGGCCCTCCTCGCCCCCACCCTGCCACTCTCCGCCGCCATCGCCAACCTCCTGGTCTTCATCAACGCCCACCTCGCCTTCAACAACAGCAACAAAGTAGCAATCATAGCCTCGCACACACAGCGCGCCGAGTTTCTATATCCAATACCATCAGAAGATGACTCCAGACAAGCGAACGGATCTACCCACAATGGCGCACAGAACGGCTTGGACGGCGACATGAACATGACAGACGGCAATGAAGCCAACTATGCAGCTACAGCGGACGACGCAAACCACTACCGCCCCTTCCGGCACATTCAAACAACCCTCCTTTCCGCCATGTCCAAGCTCTACAAAACCACCTCCCCCGAATCCCTCACCCCCACGACCTCCATAGCCGGCGCCCTCACCCTGGCCCTAACCTACATAAACAAACAATCCATCGCCTTCTCCACAACCACATCCTCAAAAACCAACGCCGATCCGCTCCTCGCGCCCTCTGATCCAAATTCAATCCAGCCGGCAACGTTGAACCCGCGAATCCTCATCCTCTCCGTCTCCGGCGACCTCGCGCACCAATACATCCCGATCATGAACACTATCTTCGCTTGTAAGTTTCACATCGTTCTTAGAGCCACCGCTCTCCAATACGAAATCTACTTGCTCGAATGCTAAAACCCACAATCCACCAGGCCAACGCCTCACCATCCCCATCGACATCTGCAAAATAGCCGGCGACTCCGTATTCCTCCAACAAGCCTCCGACGCCACCCACGGCACCTACATCGCCCTCACGCACCCGCGCGGGCTGCTTCAGTATCTCATGCTCGGCTTCCTGCCTGATCAGAGCAGCCGAAAATATCTGGTACCACCAACGGCCGTAGGAGTGGATTTCCGCGCGGCGTGTTTCTGCCATAGGAAGGTGGTGGATGTGGGGTTTGTTTGTAGCATTTGTTTGAGCAGTAAGTCTGCTCTCTGCTGGGTTGTTGGAGAGTAAAATGATGTAAAGGCTAATGATCACGCAGTTTTTTGTTCACCGCCAGAAGGAGCTGTGTGTCTGACTTGTGGGACGTATTTGCAGCTAGGGGAGTATGGAGGCAAACCGGCTGTTGTGGCGAAGAGGAAGAAGAAGCGGAAGAAGGGGGCGGATGAGTAAACGTGAGAAGCTGTGCGAGATGGAAGTCGTGACCTAGGAATATTGATGAAATGATACAAATCACAGCAATTCCAATTTCCCTATGCCTTCAGGGTGCACTCAAGTTGGTGTATGAATTGGTACTAATCTCAGCCCAGGGATATCGTGCAACCTTCTAATAAACACGCTTGAGCACCTCGCTAAAGTTAAGCTCTATTGACTGAGTTTCTCGAGTACAGCGGCTACGCTTGAATCACCTTCTGTAGCCTGTTGCAATCTAGCACTCTGGTGAAAAAACGGCACCCTTAAGAGCCTCGACTCCGGATCCTATTGTAACATTGCCGCATGGGTCATTGATCAAGCTGGGTTTTGTATCTTTTGTGTTCTCCCGACTCGCTCTTTCGAGGCACGTTTCGTTTTCCGGCGCTTAGCCGTGGGGTCCAGTTCAGTATCAGGTTCTAGAAAATCTTCTAGCTTTGCGTCTGCAGGCCATGTGCCACGGGATCCGGAAGTCCATCGGTGATGCTTAATGAGGCGAGCACCATGAACTACTTGGCTATCGCCTTTGCCACGAGACATCACAGATCTGGGGTCTTTGTCGTTCGTGCCCATCGATGCTACAGCCTAGATTCTGTCAGCTTGCTTGGACATCTCCTGGATCTTGAGCGCGCTCACAAACGAGTCAGTGTTGTGGGCGAAGTACAAGTACGCCCCATCCACTGTCTTTTTGACACCCAAGATGCCAATGGCACCAGCGGAATGGCTTTGCTTCACACTAGGATGTCCTGAGATTGGGCGACGTTAGCTGACAAAAATACTCGTTGAGATCGGCAGATTGTAAATACCCATGAAGTCCCTCTCGACGAAAGCTCGCATAGCATTGTCATCATCTGTCGACTCGGAGCCACCTTTCCTACCCCTCTTTGAGGAAGAATAAAGCCGACTGGCACACGTCCCCGCAGCCATTGTGGTAGCCATGTGCTCACCCGTACCACTGGTGACGGTTGCAACGCTCGTTTTATCTTTGTCTTCCGGTTCGACCGGTATCACAGCAGTACCAATGCCGACTAACGCTGCGGGGCCAACACGACCCTTATGCTTCATGCCAATTCCTCCAGATGAGGATCCGGCAGCTATGTGTCCATGACAGTCTATAGCAATGGCGCCGACAGTATCAGTGATATCGTCTGGCCTTGAGGTCATGCTCGCCGTTCTCTCCATCATCTCGTCATGGTCCTCAGACTTAGTATTATCGTAGAACCGTGGTGAGTGGCTCCTCGTAGGGGGAGGCGGCGTCGGCGTTACAGGAAGCCTGCGGCTACCATCATCGGTCGATTCATCGACTTCTGCGGCCATACTGGACGAGGTACGGGGTTTGGGGGAACGTTTGCCTTGAGACTGTAGCCAGTAAGGATTTTCATCAATAAAACTGTCACCACTGTCATTATCGTCAACGTGAGTCTTGATCGAGAATTGTCCATCATTGCCTGGCTCGTTAGAACTCCAAACGTGACGTTTCTTTGCTGGTTGAGCCATCGAATCTAATGTGTAGCTGGCTTCGGAGTAAGGTGGAACAGTCGCACCTAATCGCGGCGAGTAAGGCTGGCTCTCGTTCCAGCAGGGAGCCAAATCCATGTTGTGGCTGTCATGCTCGTGTCCGACCTTGCGGCTCTCATCCTTTGATATTGGTGCATCGGACTCAAAGTCGCTCTCGCTCTCTCCGGTCCTCCGCGATTTTCTTAAATCTATCTTCCATCTTGCATAGCGTTCTGCAGCAGCTGCAGACACAAGGTAATCAGCATTGACTACCGGCATGCCCAGGTCATAGGCAAAGTCTGTAGCTCCTTGACCGACCAGCAGATTTGGAGGAACCCGGCGAAGAGATAGTGGCTTTGTTGAATGTTCCAGGATGAGTCGTGCAAGATGGATGGGATTTCGGATGCCTTACAGGGTCAGTCCTGACTGTATGCATATGAGTGCGACGAACAGATGGAAGTCCACGTACATCCTGCAGCGCCAACCGCGCCACTTCGACCATAGTGATCAACGATGGTGGCATCACATTCGACAGTGCCATCCATTGATAGATTGCTACCGAAACCTGCGTTCGTGATCTCCTTGTCTTCAAGGACTCTGATAGCCATTTCGACAGCTTCCACGGCGCTTGCACCGTTGTTCAAGAAGGTCATGGCGGACTTAGCGGAACTGGATGAGTATCAGAGGGGTTTATCTTTTAATCGACGATGGGAGGCTTGTATTTTAGAAGCCCCGCCAATAGCCTTTCGGTATTGGGAAAGTAAACACTCACTCCTCACAAGCGGCCAAGTGAACCTTTTCATTTTGAAAGCTGTGATAGCCTGCACCAGCATGAACGAATATAGCACAGACATCTCCAGAGCGCCGGCGGCGTTGCGGCATGTCCGCAATTGCAAGGTCGATAGGCCCGTCGACTTGAGCGTCAGTCAAACTCTCTGAGCTGGATATGCTTCCAGCGCTAGATAGGCGAATTGGTGAATTCATTTTCGTCAAATGAAAGCGCTTATGGATCCACAGGAGAAGTGGAGGAGCCAGTTCTTTGGCTCAATAAAGAAAGAACCTGCGATGGCGTGACAGTTGGCATTCGGTAGACCTCTCTGATCGCTACTCTTTCACAGTGATCAGTGCGTTTGTCAAAAAGCGACCTTGATCGGAGTAGTGGGCGTTCCGGTGAGGTGAGATGAGGTTCTGGATTTTGCTTAGGCAACAGTCTTATAGGTTGATGACCGCGAAGAAAGCATCAACCCGAGGCACGGAAGAACAGGGAAGCTGACGTTTGGGGTATTAGAGAACGAAGTGGAATGTTTGTGGGCTTTATAGGTGGTTTTTGAGAGTAAGGAGCTCTGGTCGAGACGCGACCTGATTTAAATGAATGTAGGCGACGAGCGGCCCGCGCTCAGTCTATGATTACAGCAGCGTTGATTTCCAACGGTGAGGAGACGCACACAGAGCGTTGAAGTTCTGTTGATAGAGATGTGATGCTAGGGATGTGGTGACGCCAAAGCAGGGACGAGGATATTCTTGAGCACACTGACAGTGACGCTGCTACCTTTCTTGGTGCCAACTCCAGTAATTCCTCCCATTTTTAATTTAGTGACTATCCAAGTGTTACTGCAACCTTTGCACATGGTCTACATGATGGACGTTGCTTCCTGTTGACGAGCTGACCGAGCTCACCTCAATTCTCATAGGGCTGAAAGCGCGCTGTCCATTCTTCTGTTCCAACAAAGCTCTTCCCCTGTCAGTTTCTCCAACGCATGGCCTGAAGTCTACATGTTGATGCTTGGGCAATGTACACATCCTCACTGATTGCAGGTGTGTCCATGTCAGGAACATCATAGGATCCCTTTTCATCTTGTAACCGTTGGCCGTTCTCTACCAGTCATGAACCTTGTGCTAAATGCTAATTAAATCTTAGTGCATTTCATGCTCTTCTAATCTCCCATTTCATATCCTTGATACTGACTTCCTCGCCAGCCTTCTCGTCATAGTCGAACCATTCACCCTCCTGCAAATCGATCCCCGAGAACTTGGTTGGCGACTCCAGCCCTTTGGCCTGCCATTCTCCCTGCTACATGGTCAACAAAACAACATGGACTATGGAAACATCTTAACATACATCTGGTTTAAATTCTGTGAATTCTAGGCCTCGACAGTCAAACTCGATAATGTTTTGCTTCTTGGGTGGAGAAAAATATGTGTATACGTGAGGCGGATTTTTGATCGTCGCTGTTGACTCTCTCTGGACTTAAGTCAGCAAATGGAAGATATGCTTGATTTGAGATGGTCACCAACTTTGCATGATTTGCATCGCCATACGAAGTTGGCTTCTCCCTTGCTTCCAGAGACTTCGCTTTGTTCCTGAACGTTTTCAGCCTTCCCAATCGAAAGTTGAGACACGATAGATACACACGTAACGACTCACACTCACCCAGTTTGGATGTGTCTCTCTACATGAAGTGCACTGCACTTTGAAGGTGTAAAAATAAGGCTCGTCGGGCGTATCTAGAGGAAGAAGGTCCGTGACACTGTGATTATCAGCACAACAAGAGTTGAATCTCAGATATATCCTACCCCGTAAGATCTGCTGTCAAGGCCAGCGCCAACATCGTAAAGATATTTTAATTCGATATCCAATGCTGTTGCTATTCGGAAGCTAACCCTGTCATTCACCGCAGAGCGCTTGCCGAGAGATTATCACGTGACTCAGCCTTAATTCTTGGCCGAGGGGCTACCAGAGTCTTGTAAGCAATTACGAATTGTCGATGCTTCCAATAGTTCCGCACGCTGACCGGTATCACCCAAGTGGTTGAAGTCTCATGCAGGACCAGCGTGCGTGACAGCGGCACGGTCCGTTGTATGCACCCAGTCTGACATGTTGCTCGGATGCTCGATTCAGCTCGGTCGCTCTCGAGTGGCCTACAAAAGCTCAAGCTAGCCCCCCATGGCTCACTGTTAGGAAGACGTGCTCATCTTCAGAGACTCACTCTTCGCTCAAGCCTCCTATTACCTGACCCGCACAATCCACCTCTCCACCTCCACATCACCCCTGCCTGAGGCGGCCAGCCTTTCCTTCAACAACCCCTCCAAAACCCATGCGACATTCCGTGTTGGCTCAACCTTTACAACAGGCCGCCACTGGCACAATGATCTTGCGGAACACTTCAAAGGGCTTTCGGGGGGCATAGTCGTCACGGTCAATAACAACAGCTTTGTCGTGACAGGTGCATCTCCTGCCGTCACAATTCCTTGCAAGGCGCGGCACGAATTGATGCGGTGGGATTGTCCCGGGCGGAAGGATTACTAAAGTTAGTGAAGGGACAGTTAAAGGAGTTTGAGAAGCTGAGGGTACAGGAAGTTGAGGTAGAAGAATGGACAACGCCTGCAGATGGCGAGAAGGAGGTCTTCTTCCGAAATATGCTGAGCGCGGTTTCACAACCTCGAACGGGCATTGTGGGAGAGATTCTGAGACTCATCCATATGTTGATTATATGTCAAGGCTTGGATACCAGGATGGTGATCTTAGACATGGGGGCTGAGGGTGGTAATGGGTGGAGAGGGTTGGTTGAGGAAACAACATTGTGGGTAGTTTTTGGAATAGCGAGTCTGGTTGGTGGTGTATTCGGTCTAAAGCCTGTGAGCGAAGCGTACACACCAGGTCGATTGATTTCAGAATGGGAGAAGGATCGAAAGTAGTGGGGAGTTGTCAAGTTCAGTTGAGGCTCGATGCTAAGGAAAGGGAACAGTATAGGGAATAAATCTAATACTATTGTCAATTAAGTCAAAGAAAACGGCCTTGGCTTGGCCGAGTGCAGAGTGCAAACCGCTGATTTTCAATCGACAGTCCATTCTTTTGCGCTATTACCCACATATGTGCGTGCCAAAGTCAGAGAAAGGGAGCTCTCAGGACAAACATTTGGCACTCGATTGGCCGAAGTTATGCCGTGGAGCGCTAATTGACTTCATCATCCCGCTCGAACAAGTACAATTATACATCGGAGCAGCGTCGTCTGGCTGGACCGCTATGCAGACCGTGTGGTCAAGAGTTGCGCAAGCACAATGTGTTTGTAATTGTCCCTCCTGTCTATTGACCACCAGTGGCATTGCTCGACGGGCAACAACGGCTACAGCCCGACGAACAATCCGTGTCGGCGATGTCTTCACATTCTCTGTTTCCTCGCTAGCAGCCGGGCTTGCCTTCGCAGATTCCCGCAAAAAAGATGACAGGAGAAAGCAATGGGACAGAGTGATTGGAGAAGCAAGAGCAACGGTAGAAGCTACGGAGATCCAGCAACAGAGCCGGCTTGCAGCTTTGTCAGATGACGCCAGAGTGGAAGCATTGGACAAAACCGGGGCAGCTGAATATCGTTCTACGACAGAAAGAGCACTCAAGGAAGTGGAGGCTTGGGATGTCCAGGAAAGCGAAGATCGGGATCGGCGGGTTCCCACACTCGACGATAGATTTGATACTTGGCTTGATGTCTTCGACTGGGCTCGGGAACAGCAAAAACTACGAGAAGCCTCTGGATTTCAGGATTGGAAAGGCCCACCGCTGAGTCTGCTTCAGACTCTGTCCAGGGTTCAGCTCGATGAGCTCTTGTCAAATGAGCGGCTTCTTCGACGTTTCTATGGAGGGCCGGATTGCAGTAGCTTGGTGGATGAACAGCCCAGGTATCCTTTTTCGATGAAGAAGATAAGAACGTTGGAATGGTCAGTTGCCAAGATGGTCTTAAAGCTGCTCATGTACTGTTCCAAGAACTCTTTGGAACCTCGGGAAGGTTCAGGTCGTCCTACCAACTCTTTGCTGCGCGAATTAGCCAAAGACGAAGAGATCTTACAAAGCAAGCTTGATCACGCAAGTGAACGTCTACGCACTCTACACGCCGAGCGCAGGAGTCGCCCTTATTACGAAGAATTCGAATCCCCACAACTTCCCAACTACGATGACACAACAATCGAAGAATATGAACAAACAACGGACATGAACACATCTTTGCAAAATTTACTGGAGCTCATGAAGCAGGAAACAGATTTGGGTAGTCTAATGTCAAAAATATGCTACAATCTATTAACAGCTCGGACACCACCAAATACCCAAACCTACAACATGCTCCTCGTTCGCTTCTGTGTACTTGAAAGGGAAGACCTAGTCCAGGCGGTACTGGCCTCCATGCGCGCATCTCATATACGGCCAAATGAAATCACCCATGCTACTCTTCTGCGACACTTCACCGCAACAGGGAACGGAGTTGGATTTTTGGAGTACTGGAGGCGTATGGAAGGATACCGTGGGGGACTAGCTTTGGCAAACCCCGAGCTGAACATTCATCCGGGTGTGAAGGAACGATACCTGGTTTTTGGACGACAACACCACAAAGCTGCTGAAAAGGGACGCATGAACGGTCAAGTATACGAGTCGCTGATCGTAGGCGCACTACAATTTCTTGGTCGCCAGACCGCAATGCACTACTACCGCAACATGATCAGCGAAGGCTGGAGCCCCGGTCTCGCGATCTCGCTGGCTATTCTCCAGGATTGCTGCCATAGGTCGGACTGGACAGTGGGGACAGTGGTTTTGGAACAACTGGAAGAGACCGCGGAGATGATCAGTACTGTCACATACGAGTGGATGCTGCGTCTTTGCCAGTGCTGT